CCTGGTTGCCTTGCACTTGTCCATGTCATCCAGTCTTCACTTCTCTCGCATGACTCCTGTCACGTTCTAGCTTTTCTCCCTCAATCCCCTTTTCTTTCCTTCCTAACATGTACGGCTCGCAACGGTCATCAATAAGGCTTCCAGAACACAGAACATAGGCAGCACCACAACAAGGGCATTCACTCGTGGTCTAAGGGCGGCAGACAAGCGCAGGAAAATAGATAGAGCCCCTCCATCATCGAGCATGTTGAGACATTGCCTGTCAGAACGAAGCATTACCGAGAAGCTGCCAAGAGTCTTTTTCTTTATAAATGGACATTCAGACCCCGATACCGTATGCTTTCCCCTTCTTCCTTCCTCTTTGGCTTTGTTACATATTACTCCTCCTCCTCTTCAGATCCAACACCTTAGTTTCGGACAATTTGACCCCTAGTCAAAAGAACGACAGCAGGAAGGTTCACTTTGTAACATATAATCTTGCATCTCAGACACGAAATGGACAAACACCCCTTTCCCCTCTCTTCACACATAAAGTCTGCCCCTCTCGTCATTTGTCCCCTGAGTCATTGAGCAACATCCGTGGCAAGCACGGGTCCAAGTTATCGAGTCAAGTGAGAGTTTTATTCCTCGTTCATCAAGCTAAGCTACTAGTCTAGAATACGAGATCATCTTTGGCCATCTCTTCTCCTTATGTCTAGCTCTGCATATATCGAACGCCAACCTGTACGCAGAAACTACCTCCACACCAGTAAGAATATGTTGTCATACGAACATCCTACAGTGTCATCATAGCTTAAGGAAGGCCAGTTCCTCATTGCTTCTTCCATTTCACAACCTATGCATAATAATGAGATGTGAAGTGAAAGCAGAGACAAATGTGAAACACACATGGTTCTTCCTGAGCTGCATCTCTTCACAACACATATGCTTACATAACTACGCATGCTTCGCACACTCTATCACGATATGCTTGTATTCCAAATTGTACAGATACTTGTGTGCCCCTGTGCTAAGCTCATTGGCATGAAGCAAATGTAACCAGTCTGTGCCTTCAAGTTGATCATAGCAAGCCGTGGTACGCTTGCACAGCAGATAATAGCAGATGTTGCCAAAAAGGTTGTATTGGTCAAAACAGCCTTTTATCATCAAAGCATCTCATCCAGAAGATCCAAGAGGCCTGTGGGAGGAAGAGATGACTGCAGAGAGTTGAAAAATAGACAACAAAAATTTGATGAAAATACTGATGAGCGCTTATGTGTGCCATGTGCTGGCCGAGCTTGAGGTCAATCATCACTGCCTATCCTACCATAAACCTCCTGGACCTCTCAAAAAAACTTTTGCTTTCCATTAAAGACCGTCTCAGTGACCAGTTTGCCCTTCTCAGCTATATCAGCTACTATCAACTCTGCCAGCACATTTGGGCATGCTATAATGGCATCTATGACCAGCCCAGTTTTGGGAGGCTGCTAGTGCATGCAAATGGGCTGGGGCTCTCAGTTTCCAAAAAGAACAATTGGCAGATGTGGAAGAAAACTGCTTTCGAGTGCTCAGACGCTGCATGTGGAATGAATAGACTGGAGGAAAATTGTGCGTCATTGTTCTAATCAGCTCATTCTGATAATAGATAGGCGCATGCTACTTGCAAGATCACTTCTGATAACCACAAAAGAAGAATAGCTTGGTGGGATTACAGCACAGTCGTCTCTGGAGCCTCTAAAGACAATACAATTTGCAAGGCATATGAGTTCATTGCATCGAACACTTTATTCTCCCGCCTCAGTTTCAATGGCAATTTTCCTTCGCCACTCTCTTCCACAAGTCGGCAAAGCAGAGAGATCATTGAATGCGCTTTCATCAGACAAGAGCACACGACTGGATGGTCTACAGCAGACCTATTAAAAAATCATCCAGTTGCATTGCGGAGCTTTGCAACATTCCCCTGTCTGGCCAAGATCTGGGTGCTCAACCTGAAAGACCATTGCACACAGGAGCATGGGCTGGAGGTGTATAACTGGAATGATGTTGCTGTGCATAGCTTTCTCACTGCTCTCTGTGAAATGTAAGTGTTCATTTGTACCAACATTTCTGCTGTACATTCTTAATGGCTCATGCTGCTGTCTGAAGTTTCAGTAAACCGATGACCTGCATTCAACTTGACAATTTCCTTGAGGATTTATATGACGTGCAGGAAGACTCATCAAGAAATGGGACTTTGGCCCATAGTGCTCCAAAGTGCTCCTGTAGCACTCTGTAGCATTGTGGACCTAAGTATTTTTCCTGATGCTCAGATGACATATTCCTGCCTTTTGGATGCATCAAAATGTCCTCTTTGCAGCCAACAGGGTTGGCTCATGGTTTCAGCTAACGTGAGTTTATTCCAGTCGCCAGATACTCACAGACTTACTTCTTATTCTTTAAAGTAATTGGACTAGAGTTTGCACATGTGGAGACCTCTCTTTGCCTGGGCTAATATTGTTGTGAGTTGGTTTGAGTACAAGGAACTATTAGAGGATGTCTGTGATCATGTTGATAGGTATAAGGATGGATGGCCATAGCAGTTAAAAAAAATTATTTCACTATAAATACCTTTGGCAGGATGATGCTGGCCATCTAAAGCTCAAATGATCAATGTTCTGCATTTGACTGAAGGCGTGGGCCATGGCGTGGCCAGCAACACTGCAGCCGTGCAAGAATTAGTACATACACCCAAGTCATATAAACTAGCATGCTTTGAATGCAGCAGATCTACCTTCAGTTTCGGGGGCTTCTGCCAGTCAGCAGAACCCTTGACGTGCGCTTTTTTT